AATTCACTCCCCAAATACCTGCAATGGCCAGAGCTGAGTCAGTCTGAAGCCAGGAGCCAGGGGCTTCTTCTAAGTCTCCTACTTGAGTGCAGGGTCCCAAGGCTTTGGGCAATTCTCTGCTACTTTCCCAAGTCACATGCAGGGAGGTGGAAGGGAAGTGGAGCAGCTGGGACATGAACTGATGCCATATGAGATCCCGGCACATGCAAGGTGAAGATTTAGTCACTGAACTATAGTACCAGGCCTAAATTGTTCTTTTTTATAGAGTTCATATGGCATTCTCACAGAAGGCCTGGCACTTGGCCTAGTGGCTAAAGTCCTCACCTTACACATGCACCAGGATCCTATATACGTGCCAATTCTAATCCTGGCCACCCCTACTTCCCATCCAGCTCCCTGCTTGTGGCATGGGAAAGCATTTGAAGATGGCCTAAAGGCTTGGGACCCTGCGCCTGTGTAGGAGACCTGGAAGAAGCTCCCGGTTCCTGGCTTCAGATCAGCCCAGTGCTAGCCATTGCAGTCACTTGGGGAGTGAATCATCGGATGGAAGATCTTCCTCTCTGTCTCTCCTCCTCTCTGTATATCTGATTTTCCAATAAAAATAAATAAATCTTTAAGAAAAAAATTCTCATAGAGTACTTGCATTCTGCAGAAAAATTGAGGAAATAATCTATTTTTAAAAATGAATATTTGTTTATTTGAAAGAATTACAGAAGGAACAGCAGAGATCGTCCATCTGCTGGTTTATTCCCCAGATGGGTGCTACAGCCAGGAGCCAGGACTTTTCATCCAGGTCCTTCACACGGATATCAGAGGCCCCAGTCCTTGAGCCTTCTCTCAGTGCTGTTCCCAGGCGCCTTGCAGGGAACTGGATCAAAGTGGAGCAACTGGAATGCAAACTGGCATGTATAAAAGATGTTGACTTTGCAAGCTATAGCTTCATCTGTTATACCATACCAGCCCCTCAGCCAGTTTCTTTTTTTTAAAAAAAATTATTTCCTTTTTAATAGTGTTTACATAATTAAAAGGGATGGACACCCATGCGAGCTTCTAATTAGCATGGGAGGGTCAGGTATGGAAGAAGGTGGTTGGGACAAATGTTTCAGTTTTTTTTTTCCTCCTGTGTCTGCAGGGAAGGCATGGAAGGGGGCTGCTCCTTGTTGTCAAACTATATTAGTACAGTGGGATAGCAGATGGACTTTTAATGATGCTGGAGCTTTTGATATGGGGAAGAATGCTCTGATATTGTTACCTGAGTGATTTTGACAGTTCTGAGAAGTTGTTTTTCAACCCTGGTTTCATTGCTCCAAGGTTGAGAAAATCCTTCCACGCTCTATTGGTTGACAAAGACCACTTCAGTGCATCCACAGACCCAGGAACATGCTGCAAAACTTGGCCAGGAGAACTGTCCAATGTGTTCTGCTTTCCATCCTCTGACGAAGCAGGTGGCTTCTCCTGCTGTCCTAGATGAACTGGCTGTTATGTCCTTTGTGTACATCTGGGCGTGTTGTCCATCACACAGGCATTAGCCCTTGAGGAAGCCAAGTCCCAATACACACACTCCGAGGTCTGACCACACATCCTGTGATTTTTTTTTTCCTCTAGAATTCTCCTACCAAATTCATTCCCAGCCCCACAGCTTGTGTGGGCTGGCAGGTATTGCAACCTAGCCCAGCCAGGCCTGACCCCAATCCCTGATTTCCATGCTTACCCATGGGAGGTACAGCCTAGTGTGTGAGTTCCCACAATCCCCCTGTCAGGCATGTTCTGAAACTGGGAACTTGCACCTACCATGGTGCCTGACATGACTCACACCCTGTCCTGGCACTTGCCAGCTGGTGCTCTCTGCAATAAGTTTCTTAGGCAGAGTGCTACCTAACAATGAAAGAAATATACATACTCATTTCTATGAAGTTTTGGAGATCCCTGATGCAAGTATTTAGAAAAATCTATGTAACTCTGCTTTTTTGCACTGAACAGAAAATTTTTGATTCAATTTTCTGTGAACCCTTTGAAGTATATTATACAGATTTAAAAAAAAAAAAGATGTACTTATTTTATTGGAAAGACAGATTAAATTTACCAAGAGAAGTAGAGACAGAGAAAAAGATCTTTCATTCACTGGTTCACTCCCCAAATGGTGGCAATGGCTCTAGTTGAGCAGGCCTGAAGCCAGGAGCCAGGAGCCTCTAGTTCTCCTGCACAGGTGCAGGGTCCCAAAGCTTTTGTCCATCTTCTACTTCTCTCCCAAGCCATAAACATGGAGCTGGATGAACAGTAGAGCAGCTGAGACATTAACCAGCACCCATATGGGATCCCAGTGCTTGGAAGGTAAGGATTTAGCCTGTTGAGCCATTGCACCAGCTCTGCTGAACATATTTTAAAGAAAACTTAGAAGGAACAAAACCAAATTTGTTTTGTTTTTCAACAGGCCACAAACACTGATACATCTGTTCTCAGTTTGCGAAGACAAAGGGCTTAGGAGACAGGTGTTCTGTTTCCTCAGACTCATGCTTACTGGCTGGATAACCGGTCATCGGGGCAAGTAGCTCGACTGCTTTGGGAAGCCTTGAGAATGCTTTTACGGTACTTGCAAAATTGCACCACAAATACAAATATATCTAGCTTCCAAACATGGAACCATGTACATTTTTTTCCCAGCTTGACTTTTATTCTTCTAAATAGCTTCGAGTATGGTCTCTTGTAGGAATTATATACATTTAATAAGCATACCAAAACACTCAATACTATGACTTTCTTCTTTCAACTCTGAAGTCAATTCATTTTCACAGCCTTAATTTTTTTTTTAAGATTTATGTCATTCTTTTATTGCAAAGTCACATATACAGAGAGGAGGAGAGACAGAGAGGAAGATCTTCCGTCTGATGATTCACTCTCCAACTGACTGCAATGGCTGGAACTGCGCTGATCCCAGGGATCCCAGTGTGTTTAAGGCGAGGACTTTAGCTGCTAGGTCACTACGCTGGGCACCACAGCCCTAATTTGTATTCTGAGGCATTCCTAATCTTAGGAAAGTGTTTTGGAAAGCAACATGGCACTGTTGACTTGCTTTGGCAAACTATAGAGAGAAAACTAGCCCTTAGTGTGTATAATGGACCTAACTCATCTATGTCTTTTTATGTATTTATGGCAGGTAATGCTAGCAGCCTCCTGGGTGGGAATGATTTTCCGAGGGAGGGAATTGAGACACAGAGCTGACTGTGAAAGAGGGAATGCTTAAGAAAAGTCACATGTCACTAGAAAAATCTTCATTCTTTTTAACTTGCTATGCCAGACTTCCTCTTAAGCACGCAGAATAAATAAAAACATGCTAAATCTTTAATTTTTTTCTTTCTTTCAACCTTTCTTTCTTTCCATCTGCTTGAAAGGCAGAGTGATAGAATGAGACAGAGAAGTGTCATCTGTTGGTTCGATCCCCAGTTGCCTATAAATGTTGGGTGGCAGTGGTCACTGCAGCACTAACTGGGTTTCTGCTGCGCATGTGGAATGCCTTGAAGGCGTTCCCAGCTCTTAATTTTGGCTTGGCTTAGTCTCAGCTATTACAGGCATTTTGGAATATCTCAGGCTGGACCAACTCAAAGCCAGAACCTGGGATTCCATCTTGGCATCCTATGTGGGTGGCAGGGACCCAAGCACTTGGGTTCTCCCTGCTGCCTTCCAGGCTGCAATAGCAAGAAAACAGGCAGAGTGCAGAGTAGCCTGGATTTGACCCAGTACTTGGCTATGGGATGCAGTTGTCCCAAGTGGTGGCTTGACCCTGTATACTACAAGGCCCATTTCTGAAAAGAAAAAAAAATTTAAGGATTTATTTATTTTACTTGGCAGAGTTATGGAGAAAAGGATACATATAAACACACACAGAATGAGAGACAATAAGCAAGAGAGAGATCTTCCATCAATGATTTTAATTCTCTAAAAGGCTACAATGATGGAGGCTGGGCTAGGCTGGAGCTAGGAGCCAGGAACTTCATCTGATTTCCCACAAGGGTGGCAGAGCCTCAGACACTTGTTTCCTGGTCTGTTGTTTTCCCAGTTAATTAGCAGGGAGCAGGGTCAGAAGGGAATGGCTATCACTTAGGATGCTGGTACTGCAGCCAGTGGCTTAATCCACTGTGCCACAATACTGTTCCCACCCACTCACCCTCAATTTTTTTTTTAAAAAAGATTTATTTCTGTTGGAAGGTCTGATGTACAGAGAGAAAGATGTTCTCTCCACTGGTCTACTCCCTAAGTGGCTGCAACAGCAAGAGCTCAGCCAATCTGAAGCCAGGATCCTGGAACTTCTTCCAGGTCTCCCATGTGGGTGCAGGGTCCCAAGGCTCTGGGCTGTCCTCTACTGCTTTTCCAGGCCACAAGCAGGGAGCTGGAAGGAAGTGGAGCATCTGGGATTAGAACCAGTGCCTATATAGGATTCAGTGCAAGCAAGATGACAACTTTAGCCACTAGGTTACCAAGCTGGGCCCTTTTTTTAAAGTCATTTTCTCTCTTACATACATATATACACGGAACTCCCATCCAGTTTACTTGCAAATACCTGCAACAGCCAAGGAGTTAGCACCAAATCCAAGTCTCCCTTGGGGGTGACAGGGACCTAATCACTGAGCCACCACCTATTGCCTCCCAGAATCTGCAGTATCAGGCAACTGGAGTCGGGAATCAAACATGGGCACTGTCACTGGGATGTGGGCATCGTAGCTGCAAAGCCAAGCGCCTACTTCTGAAACTGTCTTTAAAATAAAAAGAAATGGAAATGAGGCCTGGCACGTGGCTCTGTGCCACTGTGGGAGAATGTCTGCTTGCTGTGTCTGTGCCTGCGTTGAGTCCCAGCCTGCTCCGTGAGTGCAGCTTGCATCCACTGTGCTCCTGGGAGGCAGTGGGTGATGGCCTGAGTGGTTGGGCCTTTCCCACACAGGGGAACCAAAGGGAGTGCCAGGCGCCTGGTATCTGCCTGATCCAGTCCTGGCTGTAGTAGGCCATTCGGAATTAATCCACTGGATGGAAGATTTCTTTCTCTTTCAATTAAGTCAAATAAACTTTTTGTTAAGGGTCCAAAGGTCTTTCATTTTCTTTTACACTTGATATGCCATGAATTCATAGGGAATGGGTTCCAGTAGCTCAGGTTCCTTCCCGTTGGTTCCGACGAAGTGGGCTTCTCGGTGGAGCAGGCTGGCACTTCAGCTGTACCCAAGTACCTTTCTCTTTGGCTTCTTTCTTTTTCTGATCATTTACCTTCACCTGTTTCAGGGAGCTTTCTTGGCTCTTAGAGTGTTTAATATGCTCAATATGTACATGTATTCTCTCTTCTAAAAAAAATTAAAAATTTATTTTAAAAATAACGACAACATGGTTGATCAGGGTAGGAAGGATTGAGGTTTAGGGAAAATTGGGTGAATTAATTGCTTCCAAATTTGCTATTTTTTTTTGTTGTTGTTGTTCCTGAGGGAAGGGGAGAAACAAAGGGGAAAACCACTCATGACTTTCCACATGTCCCAGTACCCAGGGATGAGGAAACATGTGTTTTCTTGGTCTTGTTTGTTTACAGCAATGCCAGCAGCATGTTGGGTAACACTGTAGACTCTTCCAGTTTTGCCATGGTAACATTTATGGGGCATTCCTTTTTGAACAGTACCCATTCCCTTGCTGTCTACAACGTCACTCTGCTTGTAAATGCACATGCATGTGGCCAAGGGAACAACTCCGTGTTGCCTAAAAGGCCTGGAGAACATGGAACGGGTGCTTCTCCTCTTTCCTGTTGTGTCCATCATCTTGGCCAATTACTGGAAGATGGCGGCTCTGACTGAAAGAATAAGTTTTTCAAAAAGGAAATAATGTTATGCTTTTTTTTTTTTTTTGCCATAAGTACACTGGACGACATTCTTGGGCGCTTTAAAACTAGAGCATGAACCTAAGCCTAGAGCAACACTGTGGGCTTACCCCACCGTGCCTCCTATTTGGTCATAATGGAATCCAGCTTCTTGGAGCCAGTTTCGATTTCAGTTCCAGCCTTCTGGCTGGGGACACAGCTTTGTGGTTTTCAGTTGCCTGCAGTTTCAATAGAAAGGCCTAGAAGCCCCGAGCAGGACAGAAAGGGAATTAGGCACTATGTACTTTAGGATTTTGACCAGCAGATGTCTCTGCAGACAAGGGAGAGTTTTTCTTGAGGTTTCAAAAGGTAGAGGATGGATTTCCTAGTTTGAGAATTGTCCTGGAAATGAGGCAAGTCAAGGTGGGTCGGCTGCCTGGAGCAACCAATCCCGGAAGGATGAGTTGTTCTTGGCCAAGGGCTGGGAAGGCTGAAAGAAGACCTAAGCAAAGCCTGCTCTTCCTGCTGCTGTAAAAGTCCAGCCGCTGTGCCACTCAGATGTCAGAGGTTGTTTGCAAGAAGAGCCTGAGAAACAGAGCAAGTGCTGCAGAGAGTTGGCTCTGTCGTCAGAGAGATGTGCAGACAAAGGGGAAAAGAACAAAGATGTGGAGGTGAATAAAGGGGATTCCCACCCTAGGCTGCGCTTTGCGGTGTTGTGACTTCCTGGAGTCTTAGCTACTACTTTGTTTTCAAGGAGTGGAAGAAAAGGATTCAAATATCTCTAAATCCTAATTAGTGTTTGTTAAATACAACACTTAAACTTGGGGAAAGGAAGTCAATTGCAAGAGGAAGATTTTATTAGCATAAATATTAAAAGTTAACCCCAGGGTCACAAGGGATATCTCACCTTAAGGAACACATTCTTTTGTGAAAGGAGCTCTCAAAGGGCGTTTTTCTCTACTAAGCGTATTTCCCCATTGATTTGCCTTATAAAACCAAAGGTGTTTTCACCAAGCCTGGTATTGATCCTCAATGATGATGCAGTCATATTTAAGAACAGAGAAAACTTTTGATCCGGCACTATGGCTCAACTGTTAATCTCTCCCTTACAAGTGCAGGGATCCTATATGGATGCTGGCTCTTGCCCGGCTGCTCTTCTTCCCATCCAGCTCCCTATTTGTAGCCTGGGAAAGCAATAGAAGATGGTCCAAAGCCTTGGGATCCTACACCCATGTGGAAGACCTGGAAGAAGCTCCTGGCTCCTGGTTTCAGATCGGCTCAGTTCCAGCCATTGTGACCATTTGGGAAGTAAACCAGCAAATGGAAGATCTTTCTCTCTTTCTCTGCTTCTCTTTGTTAATCTGCCTTTTCAGTAAAATAGATAAATTTAAAAAAAAATGCAGAAAATCTTAAAAAAAATCATACTTAAAGATGTGTTGGATACTTTAAAGAATATTTAATGGCAAGCTGAAAGTGCTTAAACCTTACCGTAGAATATGTACAAAGTGAATGATTTCTATGCTTAATGTAACAGCTTGAATGGTTGAGTGAATGAGATAAATGCAGGGATGGGCATTTGGCCTGGCCATGAAGATACCAGATAAAATGCCCGTGTGTCTTATCAAAGTGGGCTTGATGCCCAGCTTCTGGCTCTCTCCTCCCAGACCCTGGGAGGCAGCAGGCGAAGACGCAAGTGATTGCTGTCTCTGCCACTCACTTGGGAGATGTGGATTGAGTTCCTGGCTCCTAGCTTTGGCCCAGCAGGGTCAAGTTCAGGCCACTGTGGGCATCTGGGGGATGAACCAGTGGATGATATCTCTCTCCATCTGTCTCTGAATTTTTTTTAAGGGACAAATAAAAATATGAACAAGCTAAACAGAAAATTCTTGACTAAACATGTATTTAGCTTCTCATAAGTCCCCTCACCAAGATATTTATAACATTGGTCTAGATACTTGTCTTTGTATGCCCAGAGGCCCTGTGGAAGCATGTATACCTGACTAGGTGAGCCTGGGACAGCGGAAGAAGGAAGGCAAAAACCACATGGCTGAGGCAGTATCGAATAAAACAGCCTTGACAGAGAGGTGCACATCCAGCTCACAGAGCAAACCAGGGCATTTGGAGTGTTCAGACGGTGTGTGATCACTAGCTCCCTGATGGCTTACTGGACAGCAGAATTTATAAGCAGCTAGTAATAACGCCCTGGTTTGGAAAACAAGTAAACACCCTATGATGTTGTCTTAATGGCACACAGAGATTCTGCATGTTTCCCTACCAAGCGAATGCTGGTGTGATGTCAGTTTCTTTCAGAGTAGGATTGACTCAGACCTTGGTTAAGTGAGGGGCTGGAGCTTCTTCAGGGTCCTCACGTCTCTGAGGGTCTGTGGGGAGATCTGGTGGGGAGGCTGCAGTTTTCTATGTAGACCACTCTGTGGCGATGGCAGGCTGAACAGGCCTTTGATATAATCCAAGAGCTCCACCCAACTGCTTACATCACTCTCAGGTCAGAACTGAGGTCCGAAGTGGTTTTTATATCACTTCTAGAAGTTCCCGAGATTCTATCCTCTCCATCCAAGATGTCTTGGCCATTTTCCAGTTCTGGAAACATGACACAATACTATTATCCTGGAAAATGTCCCCTTTTCTTCTTTGAATCTATTTTTTTTTTTCTGAAGAGAGGTGTTCAAGATAGTGGCTGACTGGGAAGCTGGTGGCTAGTTGTCTCTGATTATATTGGACTTCAAAGACTCCAGGAATTCAGTTCCCAAGCCACTGCCTTGCAGTGGCATAGGAACACATTTGCCAGTCTGTTTTCTGAAGGTTGTGATTTTCCTACCTAATAAGCATAGAGTCTCTTTAGGGCCACTAAAGTGATCACAGCTACTTCCTTCAGTGTTGCAATCTGTTTTTCTCTTCACATGCTTCGGTTACCTGCTTTTAAGAAACAGTGCTCTTCTTCCCTGGATCCAAACTGAGCTCAGCTATCTGGGCTTTTGGAGAAACCACTTTTTCTACTGACTCCTACCTTGGCAGGAATCTTGATACCGATGTGGGAGGTTGGGGAGGTGTGGGTGGATTTCAGGCTCCAGATGAAGACTCCCGGGGCTCAAAGCTCAGTTCTATCACCGTCTAGCTCCACAGCCTTAGCCAACTCCTTTGGCCCCTTTCCTTTCTGATTTTTCTAATCAGCACAATGATTGTACAATAATAAAAATCCACCTTGGGGGCTGGCATTGTGGTACAGCAGGTTAAGCCATCAAGTACGATGCTGACATCCCATCTGAGTTCAGGTGCAAGTCCTGGCTGCTCTATTTTCAATCCAACTCCCTGCTAATATCCATGAGAAAACAGCAGAAGATGCCTTGAGTGCTTGGGACCCTGCTACCTAAGATGCTGGATGGTATTTCAGAATCCTGACTTTAGCCTGGCTTAATCCTGCCTTTGCAGCCACTTGGGGATATTTTCCTTGAACTCTGCCTTTCTCTGTGTCATCCGTCTCATTGCATTGTGGTGAGGGTTTATGTGAGTTATTGTATGGAAACTGTTCAGCATTGTTACTGACTAGGACTTCCTCTCAAACTTCATTTAACCCTTGGTATTCAATAAATCCTTGTTAAATATATACATCCAGGATCGGCATATAGCCTAGCAGCTAAGACACTGCGTTAAAATGCCTATATTCCATATTGGAGTGCTGGGTTTGAGTCCTGGCTCTGACTCCAGCTTCCTGCTAATGTAAGTCTTGAGAAGCAGCAGTGATGGCTCAAGTGGTTGTGCTTCTGCTCCCCATACAGGAGGCCTGTATTACGTTTCTGGTTCTTGGTGCCCCAACTCGGGAGACTGGAGGCAACTGGGAAATGAACCAGTGTATGGGATGCATAAAAATTAAATTGTATACCTCTAAGTTATTTTCCTTTTCCTCACAATGGTCTCTGATCAGTCTCCTTTCCAGTGTCCTATGTATATATAGCTTTCCCATCAAAGCAGACTCTTTAGTGAGATCCTTGGGAAGCCCACACCTGGATGCCCCAGCTACTAATCTGGACCCATGGAGGCTAGGAGCATAAATGACATATTGCACAGCACTGTGGTCATTGTTAAGGAATGAGATTCTTCTCTTTGGAAATTAGGCAATTGTTGTATTTTCTAGGTTCTCATTTTATTTTCGATGAGACAGAGGCAAAAGTCGTACTTGATGTTCAGATATCTCTGGGAGTAGAGGAGGACTCTGAGTGTACACTCACTAGGGAGCATGGCTTTCGTTCTGCCCCTGCAGCTAGTGAAAGGTAAGGTTTCTGTTGACTGATCCGCAGCCCCCTGATTCTTCTCTGAGATGGCAAGACTGGGGCCTGGGACACCAACGTTGTAATCCCTGACAGGACCAGGTGAGACCCAAACATGGATAAGTGTGGCCGGCCACACCCCATTTACCTGGTAGCAAGTGAGCTCAGCTTAATCAGTGTAGGAAGTAGATACTTCAACCTCATCCTTATTTGCTAATAAAGAAGTCAATTAGGAGGCTGTGCTGTGGTGTCGTCAGTTAAGCCACCACCTGCATTCCATATGAGCACCGGTAGGAGTCCTAGCCACTTCACTTCTGCTCCAGCTCCCTGCTAATAAGCCTGAGAAAGTCGCAGAGGCTGGCCCAAGTGTTTGGGTTTCTGTACCAACATGGGAGACCTGGATGAAGCTCCTGGCTTTGGCCTGGCTTTGGCTCCTGGCTGTTTCGGCCATTTGGGTAGTGAACCAACAACGGAAGATCTCTCTTTCTCTCCTTCTCTCTCTGTAATTCTGCTTTTTCAAATAAAGACGTCGTTTAAAAAAAGGTCAGTTGAATTAATGATAATTGTATTGGCGATTTGGAACAGCCACTGCAGTAGATGGCTGTGGGCTGACCCTCCTGTCTTACCCTGGCTCCACTATCGATGGGGGGATCAGAACACTAGGAAATGCTTCCTTTGCTATACAGTGAGCGTCAGTTTTTAACAGGGTACATGCAACGCACCTGACAGTATAGTTCTACTGAGCCTGCCAAAGAGCATCTTCATTAGCACAGCCCACTTCCCCAGCCCTTCACTCCCACCTTAAAGCAGCTAAGTCAGTCTTCAAAAAGGGAGGTGGGGGCAGAGGGGAGGAGACAGCCAGGAGCGAGCTGCAGGGCCCGGAATGTGGGAGGGGAAGAGAATGGGGCATGGGCTGTATTGCTGAAGCTAGGAAGTTGATCACCTTTAATGTCCTTGGAGATTTACTGGTCTGGATGGATATTTTTGTTATACAGACGGTGTTGGTCTGTAATGGTGACGTGGCTTACTGGACAATGCACCACTGCTTCATCAGGGTTACACAAGCAACAGAAGGAGCCTGCAGCCGCTGACAGACAACTAGCTATAGAATTGCTCAGAGACGGGGGTGGCAGGGAGGCAAATGACGTACACACTCCCCGGCCCTCATCCACCCAACGACTGGAATGCGTATTTGGGTTGGTTGCTCCGCCCTGGAAAATGCAAAGCCTGCTTTCCCCATTCCCCTATATTTGGTGATAACGGGATTGATTGTACAGGATGAGCTGGATTTTGTAAGAGCAAGGAATTTTACTGAACAATTCCCCTGCCTTGCTCCCAACTTGGTTACATTTGCTTAAAGACTGTAGCTATTCCTGCTTTTGTGGCCTCAAGGGCTAAAGTGGGACAAGGCTGGTATTTTCGGTGATGAGGAAGTATTTTGTTTTAAGGGAGGCTGGCTGCCGGTGAAGTGGGACAGAGGTCATTTGCAGGGGGTCACACTGGCCCGTCCAGGCACTAAGGGGCTCGACTTTGAGGTCGAGCATCAGGTCCCCCCTCCAGCCAAAGGCGCGAGGCGCGGAGGAAGCCTCCAGGCTGAGGTTTCCATTGCCCGTTCCCCGGAGGGGGGCACCCTGGAGCCGACGCCCAAGGAACCAGGGCCCACGCGGGAAGGTCGAGCTCCCCGGTGAGGTCACGGTTGCCATGGCTCTGGGCAGTGACGCGCGTCGGCACGTGACGCGCGGTTGCCATGGCGCCGGGCGCCCGGCGGCGCGGGCGCTCCGCCTCCCGGAGTGACGTCCGTCGGGCCCCCCTCCTTTTCCCGCCCCCCGTGCCCCCTCCCCCCGCAGCCGGCTCCCCGCGGCCCCGGAGGTTTCACTGCACAACAAGATGGCGGCGGCGGCGGCGGCGAGCGGAGCTGGCGGGGCTGCCGGGGCCGGAGCGGGGGGACCCGGGCCGGCGGGCCGCCTGCTGCCTCCGCCGGCCCCGGGTCCCCCGGCCGCCCCCGCCGCTGTGCCCCCGGCGGCCGGCCCGCCGCGTCCCTCAGCCCCGGCCTCCCGCGGGCCGATGCCCGCTCGCATCGGCTACTACGAGATCGACCGCACCATCGGCAAGGGCAACTTCGCCGTGGTCAAGCGGGCCACGCACCTCGTCACCAAGGCCAAGGTACCGGCGCCGCGGGACCGGGGGCGGCTGAGGGACGGCGCGGCCCGGGACGGGTCGAGGTCAGCCCGCGACCCCCGGCTGAGCGTCGGGCGCCGCGAGCCGGGCTCGGCGTGCCGGGGAGCGTTGAGGAGCCGGGGCACGGCTCGGGGCTGTGCGAGGTTCCGGGAGCCCCGAGCACCCGGGGAAAAGTCCGAGGCGGAGGGCGCCGGGGGGCCTGCGAGCCCCGGGCGCTGTGGGGGGCGCTGGGAGGCTGATTGGAAAGCAGGGGCTGGAACTCTCCGGGGCTGAGTGCCTGGGAGCCCAGAGGAGTGTGGAACCAGCAATTAGGAAATCGTGTGTGTGTGTGTGTGTGTGTGTGTGTGTGTGTATGGGGTGAGGGCAAGGGGCATGCCAAGCGTGGCCAGGGGCCGACGGGCAGACCCTGCTCGCAAGGGAGTGGGGACGGCCGCGTAGCGGTGCAGGGTCCTGCCTGCGACCCGGAGCCAGGCACCTGGTGACGGAGGTGGGAACGCACGTTGGTTCCTCCAAGGCTGCAGAGAAGGGGCTCGTGGAGATCTGCACAGACGCTTGGCTGTTGCAGGAAACCGTGAAGGAAAAGGGGGCAAGAGGAGAGGAAAATTATTTTCTTGTCCTTAGGAAGGGGTCCGGGGGAAGGGTAGCAGGAGAGAGAGGGATGGGGGGCGGGGATGGGGGGCGCGGGAGAGGAAGGAGGGCAGGTAGGTCTGTAGTGGCCCCAGGTAATTAGGGGTTAAACCATTGGGGAGAGCTGGGTTGCTGGTTATTTTTAGTTGTTGGAGGGTCGGGAACTGTGTGCTTTGTGGAACCCAGGGTGGGCTTTCAGTGGCGAGGAAAAAAGCTTGTGACAGGAGGAGGCCAGCCGCAGGAGGATCCCAGGCTGTGGGCCCTTAGGTTCCCCAGGGATTGGAGGAGCCAGGGTAGTGAAATTGGCCAAGGTCAGTTAGGAAGCGATGTATACATGTATACACCTGAAATCCTGGTTTTGATGGAAACGCTGCCAATACTGTCTTTGTGGGTGCTGTTGAGATGGGGAGGCATCTTTGCGTTTTTGGTGGAACCCACGCAGCCTCTTTTAACTCCCAATTTTCTTTGCTGGGAATCTGACTTGAATGAATACTTCTCATGTAGTCATTCATCTATTTAAAACTGCAGTTTTCTGTTTTCCCTCAACCTGACGGATAAAGAACCCCATGGCTGCTGCTGTTTCCTACCCCAAGCCACAGCAGTTGCCCTCAGCCTGGTCTCTGGTTATCATGACCTACCTTGTTTTGGCTTTTATGGCAGTCGGTTGTTTGGAGAAGCCTGCAGCTTGTGGAGGCCCTCTCTCTCCTGCTCTCCCGACCTGAAGTTTCATTCTGCTCCTTCTGTCAGAGACTACAAGGGGGCTTTTTTTTTTTTTTTTTTTTTAAACCAAGGTGGCTGTGGCAAATTGATTGGTCAGTTTCACTTCCTCTGGAGGGCCCCTTCAGGTTTTTTTCCCTTTTTAAAATTTTTTTGGTCAGTTTTTATCAGAAGGTCTCAAGTTTGCAGGTTGGAGCTGAAGGAGATCCCAAGGCCTCTCTGACCACCCCAAGGGGGAGCTGACTGAGCTGAGATGGGTGGGTGTATCTCCTCACTCTAGTCCTGTTTTACTGTTAGCCAAGCCAAACTTGTATTTACAAACAGTGCGCCTTGTTCCTTGTTTTGGTATTTCTTTCTGCTCCCTCCCCCTCCACTCTGTAATCACATTGTGCTCCTGGGATTATTTGCTTCTGACCTCTAGGGGTTTGGACTCTGTGAGTCTAATTGGTTGCACGGTTGATAGTGTCAGTGATTTTAAAGAGTTTTGAATCTTCCAGCCCTTGGAAACACCAAAATATTGATGGAAAAATCTGTGGCAGACAGGGTTGAATGTTTTTGTAAATGTAATTGCAAACAGTTGATTCTTGGCTTTATATACAAAAGAGACATTTCTGTCTTCAGTAGTCAGCAAAGCCAGTGCCTAATTATGGCTGGCTTGCCCGCTTTCTAATTTTCCTGTGTGTGTGTGTGGGGGGGGTGTTGGGGTGGGGAAGGCATATTTTCTTCTCAAAGACTTTGATATCCTTTAGGACTGCAACATTTTAAACATTGGCTTATTTCTAAATGGGTGTCACTGCTTATGTTGGTTTTTATCTTTGATCGTTTGTGGTGTGCAGTTGTGCAATTCCTATGTATGGAAAAATTCTGTCTTGAATAAGCCTGCAGTGACTTGGACGATGAGTTGCATGTGTGAAGACCAACATTCATTTGTGTTTTTGTCATAGTGTGCAATTTCCTAATTACAGTTACAAGTGCCCTATCCTTTGCTCTCGAAATTACTCCGAGGACATGAGTGAAGCCTAATTCACAAGGAGTTGTCATGGGCTCTGGGTGAAAGATGAGCACATTTTGGCCTGCTCCCTGCTTATCTGAATCCACTTTGGAAGGGGTGCTCAAATGCTGATAATGGAGATGTGCCTGATGGTTGTTGACAGACTGTTCGATGTCCTATTAAGGCCATGGTTTGGTTATATAACGGTGGAGAGGTGCAGAGGTACTGGAAGTTGCAGAAGCCGCTGCTTCCGTTCTTCAGGTACATGGATTTTTCTACCACTGTACTGCAGCATTCATCTGCAGTTCATGTTCACTGGCAGCACAGAGGTGTTTTTTTTTTTTCCCCTTAACCCTCTTTCCAGAATGTTATTTCACAAATTTTTTTGTCTATTATAAGGGTATGCTTTTTTTTTTAAGCTCTCTCTTCCCACCCCCCAACTCCCCATCTCCGTCTAGGTCACTGAATTGTCTGAATTTTTCTTGTAATCATATATAACAATCAGACTCAGGTAATTCAGATGTTTGCGTTGACCAAAAGGTTAAGGAATAGATATTCTTCTCAGCATCAGAGAAGTACTTGTGATCACCTTTTCCTTGCACACACCATCCGTTCCAAGGACTAAGAGGCTAAAATAAACTTCCTTTATTGACAAAGTTGTTGCGCTCCATCCAAGAAGTGGTCTAACTGGCTCTTACCCAAGTTCTGATCACTCTCCAACCTGCTGTGGAAGGACCCTGTTAGGAATAATAAGCTCAGCAGAGAAAAGGCTCTGTTTTCTCATTTGGTTTCTGCAGCGCAGCGTTCATGAGCTCAGGCTTCATACCGGCCGCACTGCAGAGCGGAGCGTCACTGCAGATCGGGGAGCAGGGGAGAGCCGTCATCTGACACATCCTTTGGTCAGCAAGTCACCCTGCCTTTGTTCTACCTGTTTCATTTGCCTTTTCTTCTGGAGAAGTCTTAGCTTGAGACTTTTGGGCCCTATTATTTTCGAATAGCAATATAACGTATTAAAGGTATTTTAAATATAGGGTTTTCTGCTCTCCTCTGGGGTTATACTCTGTTGACTGTACCCAATTAAACCTTCATTAGTGGCTGAATGGAAACAGAGAAAGGACATATGTGTGTGTATTTTGCATGCATTTTATAAAGTGTGCATGACTACAAAAGTCAAATTGTTAAAATTGTATTTCAGCAGACGTATTTTATTTGACTGCTACTGGTTTGTGGTAATAGCTGTCGCTTTGGATAAGACTGCCTGGGTTTGTTGAATCCTCTGCTGTTTCATAGTTGGTTGATCTTGGACCATGAGAAATTATTTAACGTCTCTGTACTTGCACTTCCTCACCTGTGAAATAGGATGACAGAAGTTCTTATGTCACAGATTTGAGTCGTAGGAAAGTTACATAAGATTAAACACTTAATGCTTTAAGAGCAGTGCCAGGCATGTAGTAAAACATGGAATACATGTTATCATCTTCATCAGTGATTGTAGTAAGAAAGATAAGTAAGACATCGTACCTCTTTTTTGCCTCTTGCCTCCTAGGAATAGTTCATTAATGTATAATACATTGGTTTTGTGTAGATGGCTTCCATCTTGATTGTGTTTTCATGGTTACAAAAAAGAAAAGTAGTTTGCCACTATTTCAGGTGTTACTTGGAGGTGGTTGGGTTTAATTCCTGTGGGGTATAGGCCAGCTCATCTCATGAAATTGGCATTTTAAAACATAGCTTTTCATGGTTTAGACTCCTCCCCTCCCCTGAAAAAAAGTCTTGAACCTTATCTAATGAAAATTGTGACTAACCCTGGCTTTTCCATTCAGCTGCTTGGAGTTTTCAGTGTTTTGTGTTAACTCATCTTCGCCACGTTGATGATGGATCAGAGCTTGTTTGAGCAGTCTTCTCCAGAGAATCATTTAAATCCAGTGGGGAATATGGAGCTCGAGTACAAGAGCACATTTGTGTTTACATGCAGAGTGCTTCCTAGAAGACCAAGGTCAGGATTCTCAACTTTGAGTATTGCGTGGAACAAACGTTTTGCCATATGACCCTGTTCCAAATATTGATCAGTTTAGGACACATCTGTGTACTGTCTAGTTTTTGTGCAAACTCATTTTCATGGAAAGACCACCTCAAAATGAACTGAAAGCATTTGTATCTCAAAGGAAGAGTTTAATGATATAGAAGAGATGAGGTGATGCTTGTACCCTTTAGAAAGCTGAAAACAAGATTCATTGATAGAGAATTACATAATAAAGAAATTGAAAACAAATCTTTATATTAGAGACAATTTGAGGAAGATAATCCTATCCCTAGTCCAGCTGGAAGTGACTTTAAAAAAGATGAGCAGATTTGTTTTGATGCAGTGGTGATGGGTTTGCTAACTTTGTGTAAACTTAAAGAGCCAGGCCTGACCAGCAGTCCCCTTTCAGTATCAAAGGTGTTTCTTTTAACATTCTGACTTTAGTGCCAGCTCCCTCGAAAGTCGTAGATCTGGCTCAAGCCAGAGGTGCCCATACTAGTTATTTCTGTGCCAGAAGTGTTGTTTTCATTTTCCAATTATCAATTGAAATTCAAAAGAAATGCTGTCTACCTAGCAGTGCCTTTGTAATTATTGAAAGCACCCAGAACATCTCCAGAAATGGAACCT